GAGAGAGAGAGAGAGAGAGAGAGAAAGAGAGAGGGAGAGAGAGAGACAGAGGGAGAGAGAGGGAGAGAGAGAAAGAGAGAGAGGGAGAGAGTACAGAAGCTAAAGACGCCCTAAAAACTATTGACATTTCCATGTAAAACACTTTCTAATCATTATTTACACTTTCCTAACAGAAATATTAATATGATACTATATTTTTTTCCAAGGGTATTTTCAAAATACCTTCCCTGAAGCAATTGAACCCACCTGCACTCTACTCAACATGGTACAGTCCGAGTCCCCTCCACTTTAAAGCTCCTTGGAACGCTCACTTCCTGTTTGGACCCATGACCAGCAGGTAACATGGAGGGAGCTCATGTCACAAACATTTTGTCAACTGAAGTAACATTTAACCAATAGTTACATGTGAGAGGACTTGTGTTAGCAGCGTAGCAAACGTGTCTGGTTAGCACTGAGATACGTTCTGTTTTATTTTAAATACAATGTGCCCCCTTTTAAATATAAAAACTGTCAAAGTGACTTCAATTCCAAAGAGTTTGTTTTGCTAAATGGTGTTTTTTATTTCATGAATTCTATCTGAATGTTTGCATGATCTTATGAAGTCAGATTGGTTTCCCTCTCCTGAACCCGAACATTGGGCCTAAACTCAATAAACCACATTGTCCAGGACACACTATTACACATCTCACTTTCTCTAAATTATTTATGATACGGTCTCTATCCCAGATGCTGCAGAAGAGGAATATTCTTATATATAGATAGCTTTCTTCATACAAAATCTGAAATCTGATCCCTGTGTGCACACAAGGCTGTATATTAATGCTACACACAGTGCAGGAAACACCGTAGTTCAGAACCTCACACACCTTCATTTTGCACACAACCATCTGATAATAGTGTTCTGTTATGCAGCGGTGAGAGCTTCCTTCTCTGCAGGACTGTTTGACTGCGCGGCGCGTTAATCCAGCGTTAAATGTTGTGTTTCTGGGTTTATTTCTGACGTTCAGCCGTGTAGAGAATGCACCTGTTGATTACAGGCCGGGCCCTCTGTGCTGACGCGGCGTCTCTTTGTCTGAGCCTGCTATCTTCGCGCCCCTCGGTTCGCTTCCACCCGTTCCAGAAAGCCACTCTGTGTGTCTTCTTTAGTCGCCATCATATGAGTCTCCATGGTAACTCATTTTTTAACCAATACTTCATTGGTGCCAGATGACCCTGTGCTGTTACTTGGCTTCCTCGCTGCTTTGTGTGTGTTTTTTTTTTTTTGGAGATTAAAACGTTTCGAAGGCAAATTGAGGTCCTGCTGGTTTCATGGTGTTGAATGAATATGTGGAGGAACAGCAAAGCGTGGTGCTGTAACACATGGTTTGAGAGCAGATTATGATACATGTCTGTATGTGTAACACCAGGGGAGCTGCACCATTTTAAACAGGTAGCACCAAAACAAGGATATCGCTGACCCTTTAACGCGACACATTCCACAGCACAGCGTTGCTTCAAATTAGCGACGAGACGTGAGAATAATGATTCCGGTTGTTTTTATCTCACCATATTTTGCTTCCTGCAGCTCGACCTGCTTCTCCGTATTGAGCAGTGTCTGCTTCGGGATTCCCTCTGGAATATTTTACGCTCTTTCTCTCTCTCCAAAAAAAAATGTTCACAGATAATTGCTAGAAGGCAGCGCCCGGGAAGGTCAGCCAAGAAGCCCGCCGTAGGTGCCAAAGTGAAATCTACAGGACTACAATTACTTGGACAGACTGAGGCGGCAGAGCAAAGTGAATGACAGGTAGGAAATAATTCATATGAATCACCTGCTGTATTATGAATAACCACCTGCTGAGAGGACATAGCACGGTCAGTTATCCTCAGAATTGGTTCTGAATAGCCCGTTTTGTCATTTGTTGGTAATTGCCTTAATTCTCTTGATAATATAGTGAAATTAACCTCCGAGAACATTTCTTCCTTATGGCATTTATGAGACAAGGTTGAAGTTGACATGCCAGTAGTCACACAATTATATTTAGATTATTCCACTCCGCTGCTGTTCGGCTTCCCCTTTTGATGTCGACGCTTTAGAGGAGTCCTTCTCGCTGCCGCTCATTAGTCATAATCTTCATTTTACCAAAAAACACGCCGCGTTGAATCCGACACGAAGGGCGTTCTTTAAGAACCCTCCGGATCGCTCACATCTCTGTTCTATTTGGGGGGGAACATCTGACCTTGTAGTGAACAGACTTAAAAGGCTGTCAGTCAAACCATCGCGCCGTCTTTGTTTCTTTGTGGTTGTCATTCTCCAGAGGAGTCAAGCAGCCACTGTCTTAAAATCTACTGATTCTACGCTCCTGGCAAAATGCTTCTCTGTCCTTCTTGCTACCGAACTCGGCGAACGCCTCGGGGTAAGGTGGAAAGAAGGTGAGACAAAAAAGAAAAGTTTCAGAGCAGCGTTTGACTGGTTACAGACTGCAATCAAGGCCCGTAGATGGTTAAATAGTTCATCTTTATCTCATGAATCTCTCACTTCACACTGACCTTTGGGCGACTTTTTCTGTCAAACCTGAAGAACAAACAGTCGGAGCCTGTTGACTGACAGCTGAAGGCCTACGTTGCTAACACACACCCTGTATGTTGGCGGTTAGCCATCAGCGATTTGAGTTGTCCTTCTCTTTACAACAGTCAACAACATTTGGGGAGACCCGTCACGCTCTTACGATCGTATTCCACTTGGAAAATAAAGGCTAGTTAGCCTAGCTTGCTAACATTAGCACTGGTTACCTCTAGACGGTGCTCTGTGTTCACGTGAACATGGTGATCGCTCCACCTTATAGAGAATAATGATGACAGAGAAGGGTCACTCTTTATTGACAGAACATCAAATATTATCATCAGTGTCACACTCGTGCAGTATAGATGCCTCTTCAATGACTTAATAAGTTCCATTCAAGCTATCAACCAATGAGCATCCAGCGTTGGAACAAGGAAACTAGTTCACCACAAACAATGTGAGCACCCTCCATTAATAATCCATTATATTTCTGTACATATGAAATGTTTTCAGGGTCTTCGTCTGCTTGGTAATAACAACTTTTATTTAATTGAAGTACATAAAGGATTCACTGTGTCTATCCTGGAAAGAATGTCTTGTTCAGCCTTAATTATACTGTTTCATTTTAAAAGATTAGTATCATTATAATAATTATTAATTATAATTAAACTATACAAATGTATCGCTGTGAAAAGAAGAATTTATCCAAATTCTAAAACAGAGGGTTGTGCCCTAATATCGCACTCACGTGGTGCAGGTTGGTGTGTCTCAGACCCCCGTTAGCGTTGCCTCTGATCTGCCTGCACGTTGTTGGCCGCAGTGTTTAGAGGAATCTCAGCCATTTGTCCGTCTAACCGCCGGCCGACTGACTCGAACCCTCAGCAGCAGCACATCAAACATCACAGGATCTCCCTGCTTGGCTCAGTTTCACACAAACAGATCAAGGGTACCACGATGTTTTTATTCCAGTTGATATGGAAATGTCCCATCATTTCAAAGAGAACTTCTGTTTTATTCATGTCGAATGTGCTTTTACTCGCGACTGTCCAATGCGGACCTGGGAGAGCTCTCACCCAGCGAGACGCAGAGGAGGCTTTAGGAGCTGCAGCGCTCAGCACATGCTGTTGTTTTCCTGCAGAAAACACAGGGTTTGTGAAATTGAAAATGCACATATTGTTGGATACTTCTGAGGATACCTATCACCCTCTTCTGCACAGAGGCCCTTTCTGTGTGAGGGTTGTACAGCAGATTGCTCTTCCCCCTGCTTTGAAGACAAATATTGTGAGATGTGTGCTCCATTGATGTCGTGCAGTTTGAAGTGGTGATCAGGTGAGTGGGAAATTGCTCAGGATGAAGGATGAACTAATATGATTTTATCTGCACTTATTTAGAGGCAGAATAAATTGATATCTCTTTGCCTTCCGCTGTTGTTGTGATAAGAGCTGTTCACTGCTTTCACAATGGAGTTGTTAGGGCTCTTTGAGAAATGAGAATATTTGGTGTCTCATCTGAAGCATCTGATGCCTGGACTGTATCCTGAAATGTGGCTGATCTCAGTTTCTGCTTCACAGAATTAAACGTGTATATTAAATAATGCCGATGACACTAATTAGCATCTGTTCTCAATCAAGATATCTAGAAGCTAACAGGGCAGAGTGTGCAGCTAATTACAATAATTTATCTAGGGCTGCAACTAACAATTATTTTCATTATCTTATTAATCTGCATGTTGTTTCCTTGATTAATTGATGAACAATACGGTTAATGAAATGTCAGAAAATGGCTTGTTTGGATGGTTGGATGATGAATGAAGCTGAGTATTCCTCGTTAAATGAGTCCAAAGCGTGTGGAAGGAGAGCTGGTGCACATACAGCAGGCGTCTGATGCTGCGCACAGCCAAACAGACAGTTTACCGTTCAAGTAACTTTAGACTTGATTGGTCCGCTAAGAAGTGGGCGGGGCTTAGAGTGTAGCTTGGTATGGAGCTACTGTTGGATGGATGGAAGGAAATCATGATGTCATTGGATGAGATCGGTTGGTATTAGCTCACATTAGCGTAAGATTTTGTTATAAAACTACGAATAAGCAGATTGTTTTCTCTCTTTGAAATGAATAGGTGCACACTATAACTGAGAATGTGACCTAAAAGGGTGAAAAAGACATTTTTCATTAGTGTTCCCACTGTGTGCCGTGCCACGCCCTGTACGTCTCCATTCTCAGTCACATGGCCGGAGTGGGAAATGAACATTGGGCACATCATAAAGAAGCTTGATAACAGAGCTAATACAATTACATTAGAGTGATTAAAGAAAGGTTAAATAGGTGATCTATTACATTGATCTTAAATGCATTCAGACTTAATTTAATTGAACAGTGCTATAATGCTGTAGTTAGAATATGTCCTATTAGTGTTTGGAGCCTGCACGTATAGTGATTAATTATTGAATAATTGTTCATGCATTTCAACACTGGCAGTGCTCTGAAGGGTGATTTATTTTCCTCATGGCTGTACAGAGATAGGGCTTAATTACAGTGGATAGCCTTATCTCCCCTCTCTAATCCTCTCTTCGGAGTCTCCCGCGTTCACGCCATCTAGTCGTCGATATCATCAGACTGTCGGCAGAGCCAGACGGAGAAAGTGATCCCCCAATTTCTCCGTCACATTAGGGCTCATTCATGAGGTCTCTGCCGCGGACCCGAGACTTAAGAGCTCCAAAGTGGGAGGAAAGACGAGTCGCTGGGCGCTGGAGACCTCCCCGTCCAGTCTGAGGTCATCGCCGGCTGCCACATTAGACCCACTGCTGTCTCTCTCCCGGCTGGATGGACTCACCAATGTGCGGTCAAATCTGATCAGATAATGGGCTCACTTTCCTGCCAGGAGCAATTTGCTGCAGATACTCGTGCGCTGAGGCAATTTGGTACAGAACTGTACTGTAAGTCTGTGCTATCAACGAGGACGGCCGGCAGATACGTTCAAGATACATGTTAGCCTCGAGTGCATGCAGATAAATATGTGGAATGTGACTTTCAGTTGACCACTGGTTGAATCTGATCATTCACAATCAAACATGCTCGATCCTAATCTAAGACTCGTCACACTTTAATTACTGCAGTTAGATGGAAGTTTCCACCACAGTTGGCACTGATAGTTGCATATTAAATGAATGTAATGTTGGCGGCTTAAGCAGATTGTATTTTGAAGGACCAAACGGGAGCTGATGTTGCTGAGCGACAGATTACTGCAGTCAATCAAGCCTTGACATACGTATCCTCTTTAACATGTGCTTCATGGCAAGTCCAGTCATTTCCACAGATGTGTACCAAATAATCTCCAAATACAATATGTGGCCAAAAGTAAGTGGACACACCTGTTCCTATAAGTTTGGTTCCTAGTTCTTGAATTTTAAACCGAACACAAAGATGTTTTTGACAACAGTTTGGGGAAGAGTCCTGTCCACAAAGAAAAGAGCCCAGACTTTAACCCCATCCACCGCTTTTCACTTTATCACCCAACATCAGTGTTGGGCCTCACTCACGCTCTTGTGGGTGAATGGGAGCAAATCTCTGCAGCCAGGCCTGTAAAATCTCGTTGGGAAGTGTGAAAGCAGCGGAGGCTGTGAAAGCAGCATAGTGTTGCTGGAAAGGAATGAAATGTTCAAGATTTACTAACCCTGTCAGACTAAAAACACTGACTTTGGAGGATTCTGTAAAATAAAGAAACTAAAATGCATTCGGTCTGACAAGAAGTTAAATGAAATTCCAAACATCAGCGCTCCCTAATCTTGAGCGTAAACTAACAGAATCCTTCCACAGCGACACTAACGAGGTGACCTGCATGGTTATTGAAGTGGAACCACACACACATTGACTGTCTTTGAGTTCCTCCATGCCCACCTGTTTTCTGGAGTGATGAACACGGAGCCGAGATGCTCGGGATGTTGACTTCTCAGGGAGATGACAGGAGGAGGCTGGACGTACGTGTGTCAGAGCGCCCGGCGTTACAGCTTGTGACTAGTTTGGGCGTCCCAAACATCCGATCTGTTGCCGGCTTTTTCTTAGTTTTCCTTCAGCGAGATAAACTTCCTTCTACACCGTCGTCCCAGCTGGTTTGGGCTCGCTGACGGCTCTACCTGAAACTGACACAGCGACGAGAGAGCTAGCTAATTAGAGATCCAACACAAATGTTTAACGAGGAGATTACATAACGCCGTGGAATCCTGGAGTAATAACACCACTTTGTCATG